GGGTAAATTGGTGTTGGTTGGCATATGTTGTGGTAGATAAACTGTTGCGTGGCGGATTTGGTAAATAAATCGATAATTACCTACTTCGCGTTGGGTAATAAAAAATATAGACGCCATATTTAACGTTATGGGCATTATTGGAAATGGGAAACATGGTGTGGATGCGGAAGACGGTTGTAGTATTTGTAGTAGATGGCGAGCGTTAAACGACTTTGTTTTTCATAAAAATCTGCGTCAATATTAAATGGCAATCTCATGACTCGATTAAGATTTACGTTACGAATGCGAATTGCCTCCAGTGTTTTCAAAAATCGTTAAGTGCACTTTAAATCAGAGGTCTATGGCATTCATTAAGACTGACATCGGGATTGTGACCTCTGTCCGAAAGAAGCAAAAGAGCATTGAGAAACAATGATGGTTGAAATTACAGAAACAATCATGATAATGCTGTTTCAGTCTTTTTCACTTTCTATTCACAAGATTGCTATGTCTAAATAACGCGGTCCTTTATTTTTGATTACTTTTATTCAGGGTTCGAAAATATCCGATATTTATTATAAATATCAAAATATCGGATATTTATGATATATATCCGATATATATCAACTTTGATATATATCAATTTTGTATGAAAGCCATAGTATTATTTTATTGTATTATTCATGAATACTATTGCATATGTGTTACATAAACATGTTTTTATAGTTTTTAAACTTAAAATCAGACAAATAAAGCAAAAACATAAAATATTCTGTTAAATACGGCAAAATCAACTAAAAAAATAAAAATCTTATGTCAAAAAGTACAAATACAGTAACAAATTTTAAAAGTTGATATATATCATCAAAACCGGCTGGATATTTATCGGATATATATCCGATATATATCTTGATATATATCCCTTGATATACATATATCCTCGAACCCTGCTTTTATTTCTGAGATCGTCTACTATATTCGTTATTTTGACTTTGGTAGGTATTTATTCCTAGACTGCATCCCACTTAATATCAGGTGCGATTGTGGTCAAATACCTGCCTTGTATGCATAAAAAAATATCATCCACCAGAAAATTCAAAATTTTTTGAGCTCTTTTTTTAACATTTATGGTGAAGCTTCCAAACTGCAATCGAGCTTAATCGTCTCCCCAAGCCCAAGGTTCACACCTCCAACTTACAGCTGTGTTCCAGCAGGAACCTATTACAGAAGCACAATGGCTGGGCCGTTAATTAATATTAACTGCGTAGGCAACGAGCAACGCCCCTACAAAATTATTGATGCGCCAGACACTGAACACAAACAGGGGGTTTACAGGCGTGAAGGTTGGCGAGCATGTTAAAGAATATGCTTGTCTGACAGACTTTTGAATCTATATCTAAAAGGTCTAACTAAATAAATATCTTTCATATCTAAAAGGATAAATGAGTAATGAACTTTTGATCCCACTTATTTCAATTAAAATAAGGTGTGAAGCGGCATTTTTTGCCACTTTTTAACTATGGCTGTCTGTAGCAACCTCAGATCATAGAAATCTATGATCTGAGGTAGCAACACAGCCGCAAGCTGTAAATGTCACCTGTGATTCACTTCTTTAGCTGTAATGGTACTCGAAAGTTTACAATGTACTTATTTTAAATAGGTACTTCTTTAGATACTTCTGTTCTGTCTGTCAGTTCTGTCCTGTAAAAAGGTTTCTGTAGAGTATACCAACTGGACAATACTGGACATGTTTATCTCAGAAATAAAATTATTTATAGTCAAGCTTATGCTGAGGAAACGTAAACAGCAATATTTTCCTATGACATAGATGAAATATAGTGCCTTCATTAATGAAGTGCCAGATACCAAATAGAAAGTTAAAGATGTATAAAGGTCAAGAGTTGGAAGCACGTTCGCGTTGGAGATTATGCATCGGAAATTAACCTAACATGTAGTTTATCCATTAAACGTAAATTACGACGCATGTAGGCAAGCAAGACCGATTAAAAGAAAGTTTTGAAAGCCATTTTAGACACCAATTCCATGAACACGATTGAACATTACAGGAACGTAGATATCTAAGTATCAAGCAATGCTACTTTGTAAAAAAAAACATAATGTTGATGACGAGTTAAAATATATCACAAACCAACAAGTTCGTCGCAGTGCTCGTCGTTCCACATCCCCGTGTGTCCCCGCAGTCCGCAGTAAAAAGTTGCGTACGCACTATTGTGCATCGAATACCTTTGTTATGCGCATTGGCATTTGTCGAGCGACATTTCGATTGATTTCGAGAACAAAACGCGTTTTGTACTTCGATTTATTAACGGGCAACAAAGGTGCGACGCTCGCATCGACAGGTTGTGTACAGATGTGCATTGTTTTGTTCGCCATCCGTGAATGCTGTATTGCGGATTGTGTTTGTGCTGTAATGACTATAATCGGAGTGAATGAGCAGAATCGAACCGACTTGTTTTGACTCCAACTTATGTCACGGAAGAGTGGTTTGTGCTCAGCCGTGGCTAATGCTTCTATAGGAAGAACAGAACAGGTTATTTTTATTAAAGTTTCCTTTTTTATACTGTGACTAATTGTTGAAAAATTATGTGTACTGAAATACTATTCAGGATAATATGACAATAATTAATTGTACACTTGTCGTAATAAAAACTCTCACTAATAGTAATACTCGTACCTGCTCGCACGCAAAGTTCAAATATTGTTATTTATGGCCTATTCAAATAATTTCCATTACACCCTAAAGAATCCACACAAGAATAGAATTTATAGTTTTATTCATAATAATAAACTCAGGTCTGAAGTTTAAGCTCAGAACCTCGGACTCTACTTGACTTTTTCTTGCTTGATTCGGACTGCGGATCTCTAGGAGTAGTTACGTGGCTGTTTTTAACGCAAAAAAAAGTACAGCGCAACTGTACTGACTTTATGACATGTATTGGGAAATATGGAAATATTTTAATGACGTCATAAAGTACGTTAAAACTCATTCAGTTACAGATGCGCATGATTCACGCGCACTGCTAACTCTGTACAATGTCACAGTAAACACCCGCGAAAGCAAACAAAATAGAGACGGAAACATGTCCTGAAATGTTTTAACTACAGAAAAAAGCTTCTAAAAATCTCAAAGCGTTATTTAAGCACCACTGTCCAATCTACAGCAGCTTTTGGCAGCACTGTGTCTTCTTTTTGCGGGAGGTGGGGCTTCGTTTACGCACAGCCTTTGTCCAGTCGAAGCGCATGTATTATTCATGTCTATACCAGCTAGTTTGTTTGTCGGAGCAAATTATTTGCTTCGGGCTATTTGGTACGGATAATTCAATTGCAAGTGTTTTTTTCTATAGTATTTTTGTTTGGTGAGATTTGAAATGTAGTTGTATGTGCTGGAGACGCCAAGAATTATGTAGGCGTGTATTTGTGTAATTTGTTTAACATTTCACTGTGATTTTTTTATTAAAACACTTTACATACTTTCTTTTAAGGCTCTCTTATTAAATATCGCTGAACTTAGTAAATGAGTTTTTGTCTATTTTTTTTTAATGATACGCGGAACTTAATATCATAAGTTGACTACAGTACAGACCTAATATATGTAATTCAAATTTTGTTATAAGGTTGTTATAACAAGGGCTTTCAATATCGACATTTTAACAAGGGTCTACCCGAACGAGCACACGTTTCCAGAGCTACAACCGCCATGCTGGCAACTTAAAAAAAAAGAAAAATAGAAAATGGCGTTTCCTCCCGCGTCACCGTCAGAATGGCGGGCGCGGCGTTTTTATTTTTCCATGCTCTTCCGCCGTGTCTGGTCGTTTCTGGATATTTTTAAACTTCGAATCCGTTGATTAATTCGGTGGCGGGAGCCCGCTGTGTCGCACCCGTCGCTTGATTGCGTCCAGTTTTTTTGTGCCCACATTAAATTTAGCAGCTTTAAAAAAGGAATTAAGTGGTCAAAGACGGTGTGGTTATTCGGCGATGACACAAAACGCTGTTTTAGGATTCGGTTGTTTTGTCCGAAATGAGATTGGTATCGTAAACATGCTGGAACAAAAAGTGTGTTGCTGTGATTTGAACCCTTATTAGTAGCTTTAAAATACGAGGATCGGATTACTGCAAACATTTCTTTGATACAAAGATAATAACGATGCTTCGCCTTTTCGAAATATCAAACTGCCTCGTCCAATAAAATAAGGAACAATCCGGTATCATAAGATAACTTCGCCGGGGTATTAATTAATTGAATTGATTAACCCAATGAAGATCAAGATCTACTCAGCCGGGTGAATGATCAATTTGCAATCAAAATGAGCCATAGACAACGCCGAAGTCATTTTGCATTACAATAACGGTGTAGAGGTAATCCTGAATACTCTGGATGGGAATAGGAGCACATTGTAGTGCTCGATTACATATTAATAAGTATGTACAGGTACCATTGTTCTTATTTGGACACCTATTACCTATTATGATGAAGATTAATTACTCTCGACTCGAGTAGGTACCTACTCTACATAGAAAACACCATAAAATAATATTAAAATAAATCTGTGGTAATAAAGACTATCAAAGTGTGATACTGTCTGGGAAAATCCATAATGTATTTTACGTATCATTCAGTCAGAGTATAAAAAATCGCACTGTATCGACCATACATAGAAATGTATAATAAATCTAATACACTCGAAAATACTTAGATTAAAGTCTGTGTTCTAAGTTCTAAGTCCGCCTAACTAGCTACCACCATCTTACTTAAGTCTGTCGCCATAAAAATATTGTTAACAACAGTTACAGGTAATATAGAAAAACTGACTATCTTACCTCTAACTGCCAGAACACAACTTTTCGGCATTTAAATGTAAGATAGCTAGCTAGTTTTCCTGTGGTTGTGGATTTTGGGTGAAGCTCGCTTCCACCTTCGGCCTGACTATCACTTTCCATGAAGTTAGAAGAGATACAGTACAGGTCAAGAGCTTCCTCGTTGTGGATACAAAAAAACTTACCTAATCTCTTCGAGATCTCCGAATTGTGCATCTTTGGGTTGTCCTGGGCAATCTTCCTCCTCTGCAGCCGGGACCAGACCATGAACGCGTTCATGGGCCGCTTGATGTGCTCCTCCTGGACCTTCTTCTGCTGCTGCCCGTTCATGGCTATGGAGCCCATGGAGCCGATGGCCCCCATGGCCGACATGCCCATGGGGAAGTGGCCCATCGTGCTCCCGAAGCTCGGCCGGTCGCACATCGCACCAGCGGCACTGGGGATCAAAGGGATTTAGGTTAGAATTTGTTATGTGTGTAAGCATGGAGCCTGTTTGAGTTGTAAGGCAGTAATAGAAAGAAAGTAAAGATAAAATAAATCAAGCTGACGAGATGAAATGGCTCTTAGATAGTGACATCAAAAACCTAGAATTTTTTTTACGATTTTCAATGTGCGTGCGATGCGATGAGCCTGCGTGCGCGATGGCGATGGCGACCCTACTGATTTCTAGTGATCGCCGTTGGATAAATTTATCAACTATTACAATAATAAAAGCCGCTTTTTCCTTAGTGTCAACCTCTATGAGTCACTACAAGAGACTGACATCTATAGATCAATCGGACCGGCACAGTGACATAAGCTAAGCTGCTTTCTGCCCACTCTCAGCATGAAGAAGAATCATCTTTTTTTTTTCAGTCAGTCCTGTTAATTCCAGATTGCCAGAAGCCCTGTGATTTCAAGTCTATCTAATCACTTTTCATTCGACTCGATCAAAAACAATAGAACTTGATGTTTGATATTCGAGATTCGCCCACGATTTTCCGTGGAAAAATTCAAAAGCAAGTCCCCATAGATTTTAATAACCACCCCACCGGCATTGTGTAGCGGATTATAAGGGCCGCCATCACGTGTAAGTTTTAATATGAGCGACAATTATACTGCTCAGAGCAGCGGAAGATATTAATATTAGGCAGATGGGGTGTTGGCAAATTGGCTGGTAGCTACACTTTTTTGAGCTTTCTGTACGCTTTAACATGGGGATATATTTCGCTACACTTACATATTTCTGTGATATTTTTTACAAATATACAAGCATCTGAATCTTCAAGAACCTTTGAAAGACTCATGGACCACCATGACAAATGCGTTAGTGGTTCAAGTCTGACATATGACCTCAGTTTAGTATTAGTATAAACTTTGAAAAGAAGGAATGAGCACCTGAACTACTGAGACATTCAGTGGAATAAACCTTAAAATCAGATCTCACGATCTGGTAAAGGTCGCGGGAAGAGCCTGGATGCTGGCAGCGCAGGACCGTTCATTATGGAAAACATTGGGGGAGGCCTTTGTCCAGCAGTGGACGTCATTTGGCTCAAACGAACGAACGAACGAAACCTTAAAAACTCTGACCACACCAATAACACATAACATAAAGAAGTATTCTTGTAATCATTATTAGACATTTCTCGACAAATTGATACATCCTTATATCTTTAGGTATTAAGATTACAACATAACAAACCAAAATCCTGCAACCATTCTGCGTCGAGAACAATATTGCCCTTTCCCCTTGACTTTAAATTCCAATCTCCGAAACCGCGTTATTATTTAAGGCTGTGACAGACGCGATTTTAATTAACTAATTGGGAGCTCCGAGTGTGAAGTATTACGACAGATAATGCGCAAGCCCTTCCCTCAGGGCTGGGGAAGGGCGCAGCCAAGTTGTATTGGTAGGTTGAAACGTAAGGTTTGGATTGGGAGATAATTTTAATGTGTAAAACATATTTGGATGGTGTGGAGTATGTGGTTATTTACACTACTTTTACTTTACAACTATTAGTAGTTGAGATGACATTGCTCACCACCTTTAAAAACCCACAAAAACTTTAATATACAAGTATCTCTACTCTACGATGAGAAAAATATGTATTTTTTTCTGAAAATAGTGACCGAGTTTCTGGTGTCACTGCTACACATTCGAAAGTTATGTTGAGACCTACAGGTCTCTTACAAGATTGAATCTTACAAGATTGCTCATTTTAATTGACTTAACTAAATAAAACATTTTTCTTTCTTTCTTTATAAAAGTCAACTAAAGAAACAAATCTGTAAGAATTTCTTTAGATTAGCCAAATTAAACTACATCTTTGCAACAAATGATTTCCTTTCTAAAATCTACGACACTGTCTCCTGCGCCGGCGCCGGTCCAGTAATATTATTTGAATGTCTGTTGACACAGAACTACTGGTTCGTCATTTGAACAGTAGCTCGGTGGCTCCTGTACAAACATTGACATAACTAGTTGACATACAAAACAGGATGGAAGGTTTTTAAAATCTTGAAGAAGTAATTTTACGGAATACAAGAAAGAAGAGTCACACCAAAACAAGTAACCCTGTTACTTTTTGGGGAATAAATTCCCATCCATGACTTCCCTCCATTGCAAAACGGATGACAGGTGACAAACGAAAGGCTTAGAACCTTTAAGAAAAAATATGCACCACGGACAATAAATTAATTACATCAACAATAATTTTTCACAAAATCGCTTAAAAGAACGGAATATTTTCCTTATAATATTAGAAGACTAGTTCCTGAATAAGTTGTTTTTGTATTCAAATTTTACCCTGGTGCAAGTCTGTACTAGTTATCTTCACGATTCATCAAAGGTACGGACGGCCCCAAGGTCTCTCTCTATTTTAAGCATGACCCGTGAGTTGCCCCTTCTTCTCGTTTTGTAGGTTTTGGTTTTACAAAAACTTATCAGATATCGTTGAATGCACTTACGCCCTTATTACAAACGATGCATGCTTAAGTGAATCAGCAAATCGAACGCACAGCGTTGAATGGAGCTCTGTGATTAATTCGTGCGTCACCCTTTGCGTCCACGCGCACTGGGAGACCTCATAGTAATGTTTGTGAATACGGGCGTGAGTTGTAATATCTAGGTGCAGTACAACAAAGACATAGGCATCGTACATAGCGAAATGTAAGTAAATAACAACTCAACTAGGTGCTTACTAATTAAAAAACCCTCCCAAAATTACCAAGCCTCAGCCCACAATCAGCGACTGTCATGAACTCCGTAAAAGGTCGACTCATTAGACCCTACAAAGCCCTACAAGGGCTAAAGGCACATTCTCGGAAGGCGTTTACACGCCAAACAAGCTACTGTAGTATTTGGCCCTTAGAGGAGCCGCAAGCAGCGCCACTCTTTGCTGAGGCAATTAGATGATGAATGAGAATCCGCTAACAATCTGCTGAAAATACTTTTGGTTATCTTCGACGAAAGCTGCGTGATAATGTCAAGTGACAAAAACTGACCAAAAGTATTACTGGCGTGTAGGTTAGGTACGTACAGTTTAGACAAAAAAAAATATTAAAACGCGTTTTTTACTATGTTGCTAGACAAATTGGTTTCAGTCAGATCAACAAAATATAAAAGATTTTTATAAAGAGTAAAATTTTCATGGAGTGATGTGAAGTGAAACACAGTGCACCTGCACTTCTAAACTTTGTATAATAAATAGATGACATAAAGCCATAATTATGAGGCATCATCTTCTGGGGACTGATTGATTGGTCAGTCAGTACAGTGTTACTGCGATGCAAATATGAAGGAGGATAATAAAAACACTGCTGATTCATTCCTGAGCACCTTATTCAGTTTAGGATACTTGTCCCAAATACATAGGTAGGTATAGGTTGTAAATCTGCTGGTAGTAAACATTGACTAAAGTTCCCCAACACCTAAAAAGGTGAAACAAAACTAAAACACCAGCTTCTTGGAACAAATTCCAACCAAAGCGCCGACGCAAACATCGGTGCTCTTTGCCCAACCATATAAATGACTTTTGAATTATTAAGAAACATTTGGTCTATAAACTAAGTATTTTTCCTCAATTTGGCATAAGTAAATCTTCGAGGATTTTTGTAAAGAACGAAAAATCTAAGTTTTAACATTTCAATCAGAATCTCCTGGTTCTTAAAAATTATGTTCTCCGACGCCTTAAAAGGTAAAACAAAACTAAAGCAGCAGTTTCTTGGAACAAATTCCTCAACACGCTACTGCAATACTGTAAGCGGCGCCGACGCAAAAATTGGTGATCTTTGCCCAACCATTTAAATGACTTAGAAACATTTAGCCTATAGGCTGAGTATTTTGCCTCAATTTGGCATAAGTAAATCTTCGAGGATTTTTCTAAGGAACGATTGGCACATTCTTCGAGATTTTTTGCTAACAAACGAAAAAATCTACGTTTTAACATTTCAATCAGAACTCCTGGTTCTTAACAATTACTATGTTCTCCGACTCCTTTAAAGGTAAAACAAAACTAAAGCAGCAGCTTCTTGGAACAAATTCCTCAACACGCTAACTGTAAGCGCCGACGCAAACATTGGTGCTCTTTGCCCAACCATTTTAATGACTTTTGTATTATTAAAAAACATTGAGCCTATTAATGTAGGCTGAGTATTTTGCCTCAATTTGGCATATTCTTCGAGATTTTTTTCTAACAAACGAAAAATCTAAGTTTTGACATTTCAATCAGAACTCCTGGTTCTTAACAATTACTATGTTCTCTGATGCCTTAAAAGGTAAAACAAAACTAAAGCAGCAGCTTCTTGGAACAAGTTCCTCAACACGCTACTGTAAGCGCCGACGCAAACATCGGTGCTCTTTGTCCAACCATTGAAATGACTTTTGTATTATTAAGAAGAAACATTGAGCCTATAGGGTGAGTATTTCATATTCTTTGAGGATTTTTCTAAGAAACGACAAAATCTAAGTTTTAACATTTCAATCAGAATCTGCTTGTTTTCAACAATACCCAAAAAGGTAAAACAAAACTAAAGCAGCAGCTTCTTGGAACAAATTCCTCAACACGCTACTGTAGAGCGCCGACGCAAACATCGGTGCTCTTTGCCCAGCCATTTTAATGACTTTTGTATTATTAAAAAACAATGAGCCTATTAATGTAGGCTGAGTATTTCGCCTCAATTTGGCACATTCTTCGAGGACTTTCTAAGGAACGAAAAATCTAAGTTTTAACATTTCAATCAGAACTCCTGGTTCTTAACAATTACTATGTTCTCCGACGCCTTAAAAGGTAAAACCAAACTAAAGCAGCAGCTTCTTGGAACAAATTCCTCAACACGCTACTGTAAGCGCCGACGCAAACATCGGTGATCTTTGCCCAACCATTTAAATGACTTTTAAATCATTAAGAAACATTTAGCCTATAGGCTGAGTGTTTTGCCTCAATTTGGCACATTCTTCGAGGATTTTCTAAGGAACGAAAAATCTAAGTTTTGACATTTCAATCAGAACTCCTGGTGCTTAACATTTACTATGTTCTCTGATGCCTTAAAAGGTAAAACAAAACTACAGCAGCTTCTTGGAACAAATTCCTCAACACGCTACTGTAGAGCGCCGACGCAAACATTGGTGCTCTTTGCCCAACCATTTAGCGGTGGGACGTAGAACACTCGTATATCGGCCGCAGCCAATCAGAGTACCCCAAGCACGAAAATCTCTCGATATCGTATAGTAATAAGAGCTTTAATAGTCATAATGAGAACGGATTGTTAGCTGTCACAAGAGAAAATAATTGTTTTAATTTTCAGAAATACACAAAAAAAATGTTTTGACAAAAGCTTATCGCTCTTTTTTTTCAGTATACGCAAATTGATAAAAATACTGTCTCTTTTCTTGTGACAGCAAACAATCCGTTGTAATGACCGTTACAGCTCTACTATTACCTACGAGACTTTTTCGTGCTTGGGGCATTGTTCTGATCACACATTGTCGTTTCTGTTTGTTTTCTTATTATGATGTCGGAATTGGCATTTGAACTCGGAGGAGCATCTTGGAAAACACATTGGATTTGACAGAAGTGACAATTGGATGTGTCAGAAGGTGTGATTTATAATAATTGCATGGCTATTGTTGCGAATTGTCATAGGTTTTGTAACTTAACTGGTTAAGGAGATGAGTGTAATGCAAACAATAAGGCTATGTTGCACCATCTTACAGCCCATCCATCTTGCTTTAACAACTGTCTAAAATCTGCCAAATTCCATACAAAACGCACCGGTTGTCGTTATAGGTAGTTACCGTTAAAGTTAGGTAGTGCAACTCAGCCTTAGTAAACAAATATCGTCCTTTTAAGCTGCATGGATTATTTCCCACTTTCATACAAGCCCGTAAACAAGAAAAAAATATATACTAACAACTTATTTCTTTGTAGTTATACTAGAACTCCTTCGAACTAGAATAGCCGCTCAAAAAAACTTCAAATAAGGGCTATTTTACGATCAGCAAAAATAAGTCCGCTACTGCCTTCTTGCTATCTATTGTAACATCCATCTTACAATATCCTTTGCAGATTCCAATTGGAATTTTCGTTGAAGTTGGTTGTAGCATATTTGGGAATGAATGGCTTATGATGAAGTTCGGGGCGGGGGAAGGGCTAAATAAATACTCAACTAATGACGTGATCTTCTAAAAGAACTATAACTTTATGTCTTTGCCAATTCAAACAAGAAAAAAAAACATGAAGTCGCTCAAAACCCAACCGTCTTTTGTCTAACTGTGAAAACAAGTGAAACCGCTCGCTGCTAAATGCCTGCGCAAACGCATCATGATCGATTGTTTGCGGCGGCGAGAACAGAGGCCGGGCTTGTTAGCGGGTTCTGTACATCATCATTGGTTTGCTTTTTACCGTTCAAAGTAAAGGTACAGTCGATAGCATATTAGACTATACATTTTGTCGCAAAACTGCACCTAATGTAGGCTACGTAAGAAGGCGCAGTGTCAAGCTTGATGCGCTGTTGTTTTTTATTAGTACGATACCTATTCGTTTCATAAAGGTGCGCAAGGTCCGCATATGATTCTAAAAACAGTTTGTTCATTTCGTTTCAGCCAAATGATCAACGAACTGCTGGACAAAGGCCTTCCCCACAGTCCTGTGCTGCCCGCATCCAGGTTCTTCCCGCGACCGTTACCAGATCATCGGTGTACCTAGTGCGTGGCCTGTTCTAAAGACAGTGTCTAGTTACCTACATGAAAAGAGAAACTAGTGACTATGTTGAGCAACATCACATTCATTTGTTTTCACTGTTGTAATATCATGGAATCAGGATTAGTTTTCCCACTGAAGCGGCGCTTACTCTGATGTAGGCGAATTGTCTATTAATAACTGGATCATCTAGTTTCAACCTCTAACTAAGGTATTAATAAATTTGACTCATATCAAGGATATCATGTATTGACTGCCTATGGTAAAGTTTCTTTGGACCAAAAAAACTATCTTAGCCAGGAAAACAATAGTTCTGGTTCTGAAGATTCCTTTCCCTATTCTATTTTCTTACACGCCTTTTCTGTACTTGTTCTAAAACGTCCGCTTGTCCTAAAACTTTTAAAGTTCTTAATGTCACTTTAAACAACGCTACTATGCTGTAATTTCACAAAATGACTTCTTGTCAAACATCATTATGCTATAAATGGCAAACGCACGCAATAAAACAAATAAGCGTCTTATGTCTTCTAACAATAGGTTAACTTCGCACGTGAGTTTAGTGGGCCGTTATTGCACCAAATCTCCTGTGTTTAAGGTCAATAACTCTTAGAATTAAACCGAAATGGCCGCTGGAAGTCGGCTCATATCAAAGGGTAACACTAACGACTATTGTAAACGTGTAAAAAATATAAAAGGTCTTTTACAAGGGGCATTATAAAGATGCAGCGATTGTGCCTTCATTAGGCCATCTGTAAAATACCTAATTGGTTTCTGAGCGTGTTTTGTTCGCGCGTTCGATTTTTGATTTTCTTTTAGTTACCTATCTTCTTTTGTTTTAGTCAGACGAGAGCTAATCTTTATTTAATTAATTAGGTAGGTAGGTATTTACCTGTATTAAAACCTATTTTGTAACGTAGGTACTTTAATAAACCATTATACCTAAATGTTAGGATAAGATTTAGCAACAAATAACTACGCACTTATATTAGGAGAAAAATGACAATAAAAATTTTCTGTTAGGCGTAGCGTAGTAATGTAAATAATTCAAATTCCTATAAGAAAAGTAGGTATAAAATGTCCAATGTAGGGTAATTGCGCCGGTTTTCCGTCCAGCTCCTGTTTTCGTCCATTTGACCGACTTGCCACAAACAAATACGGAAAATTAGAATACAAACCTAACTTTCCGTGCAAGTTTGGACTTGTTACAATCTATAATATCTAAGTAACAGTTCTGCCTGCATGAAAATGTAATTTGACAAGTAATAACTCCAAAAAAATCTACGGAAGTTGCTGCTGCACACAGGTGAATGGAAAACGCCGTCTAGTCAGAAAAAAAACGTGCCGGTAGGGAACTTTCATGGTATGTTTAATTACTGTTTTAGCTACATTACGTTATGTTTTTGGCACGTATGTCTAATTATTAGCATAATAAATACTATTTTAAGGGTTTATTAAAGTTTTTGTATAGAAATCTTAGATAATTAAGTGGACTAATACTAGCATAACAATTTTGCAAGAATTTGGTTTTCGTCCACGTGGACGGAAACCCTGACACCTAGTTAATATTTTTAATAATCATTTTACTTCAATGGACCTACAAAATACAATGTTTTTTCTTCCAATATGATCTTTATTGCTATCACATTAAACATTTTAGTTTACGTCCACTTTTCAACAGTGATAAACCCATAAAAACCGTTAAAAAGATGTGGACGAAAACAAAAAACAGCTTTAAACGTTGTTGTGTTTTCGTCCATGACGTCATGAGCAAGCACTGGGGTGGACGAAAACCAAAATTAGCTATTCCTGTAGATTAGTTTTCGTCCATTTGTCCTTCGACCTATTGAAATATTTTCCTAAATTTAGCTAAGAAACTTATTTAAATCTTTTTGATATCATTTGAAAGCTAATAAAATTACCTTTCAAATGATATACCACAATCCATAGTTACTGTGTTGTAGAATTGGTTTTAAGTTAATAATTCAACTGCATCCTTTTTTCTACACAGTGGTCGAAAACTAGCGTACACTAGGACGAAAACTGATTTTTTTGGACGAAAACTAGTGAAATCGCCTCTTTTGCATAAAATATTTTTTATAAAAAAACCCGTGGTATTTACTTATTGTCATATAATATTAACGTAAAGTAGACTATATAAGGACTAAAATGACATATGATACATATGAGTAAGGGTATTTTAAGATATTCATTTCGCATCACAAAGTTGGCAACTCCGATAATTGGACGAAAACTAGCGCACTTACCCTACCTACCTACCTACCTAATAGATTTATTTTAAGGTGCCGACGGTATTATTTTTTATTTTGATAAAGCTAATGTGAAAATTTAAGGAAATATAGAAAAGAATCAACAAATCCTACAATAAAGTTAAGTAGTTGGGTAATAGTATGGTAACTCTTTTCTAAACTTTTTTTTAACATTAACAAAATCTTATAAGATTTTTTCTGTAAAGAATGAGCAGTTTCTTATTAAGCAGGTAAGTATCGATTCTATTTTTAAATAAAAAGATAAGTTGGGTAATTTATTAATTAGTTAAGAAAGTAGGTATCAAGCGATGGTTAGTGATAAAACATGCTACATTCAGTTAAAAATTAATGATTATAGCTAATTTCTAGGTAAAATCAGAACCTTAAAGGCAGCAAAGCATCATTTTCAACGTAGGTACATGAGCTTTTTATTATGTAAATACCCATATCAATGCCCTTGAATGCCTAATTTCCCGCTCCCAAGTTTATTACAATCAGGAAACTTAGCAAACTCAAATCGATCACCAAGTTCATCGACACCGTGAAGTTTGACACACACAAAACACAAAGCCAGCTTTCCTTCCCCCTTCAGAAAGTTATTTAACTTTGTTTATGTTAGGTACCTCATGAAGTGCCCGCTGGCACGTTGGTGTAAGTCCAGCTCCAGCTTGAAGCCGTTCACACTTGCGGTAAAAACTCAGTCCTCTGAACACTGCACGAAAAACAAAACACTGTCTTACACGGAAATTACAACTGTATTTATTAATTGTTCAACTGTTTCACGATCGATTAGCGTTGTCGATACGATAATAATCGCGAATTCGTAGCGGCACCGCGCGTCCACCGCTCGCTCTGCACAATGGCGACAATCGACAATCGTGCGGCGCGACGCGACTGCGGTGACGACGCTGCCGACAAATCGAGTGATAAGCTCGCGCGCCTCCGCCAATCACAGGGCCCCAATACGCCCACGAAAACGCGCCGAGCGCCGCCATTGGCCAAGCAGTTGCCATTGCCTTACGGATGTTATTATGCAGAACGAGACCAACTGTTCGAAATTCGAAATAAGAATTTAAACGTTTACCAGCAGGCGTACAATGCAAATTGGTTGCGCGCGTTGTGTCGCGTGGTCTCTTTCTGTTGTGGATGGCGTTGTTTTAGTCTTATTTTGTTATGATGGCTCGCGGAATGAAATAAGAATGCAATCGTATGGCTGCGCAAGATATTTGGTGTGATGCCCAATTTTTTACTTTGGATATTCAATGAGCCACTAAATATAATTGTTGATTATGATATTTTAAAAGTAATTATAACTAAGCATTTTCAATGTAGGCATTTAAATTCATCTAAGGAATACCTGAAGGAAATACCTTTTTTTTTTTGTTTCTTGGACCCTAAAGATTTAAACAAGTAGAAATGAAAAAAAAATCTACCAATAGGTAAACCTATACCTAAAATTATAGTAATAAGTATAATGGCTCAAAGGGGGAAAATATAAATGTATTTTTCTTCGGAAGTAGTTGATATTAATCATTTAATAAGATCAACTTTACCTATAACAAACAATAGCAGTTGCCATTCATTAGACTCAAGATCAATTTTATTGATTAGGAAAATTAAGCATAAAACTATGGAATGTTATTTTATGAGTGAGTCCTAGCTCCTGGGTTTGATCCTCAAATGGGACATAGGTTGAAATATGCATCACTTGGTTGGTGCTATTGATGTCAGTAGAGTTATATCTAACTCTACTAAGTGATGTCCTATCGGACATCTCAGAATTGCATCAACATGCTTCAAAGGAGTTAAATTAATGACAGTCCAATTGAGCATCTCATAGTCTGCCACTATTATTGCAAGCTTAGTCCATACCAATCATTTATTTTTCCAAAAGATAAAGGTAAGTACCTACCCGAAGTGTTTATCCAAACTTAAACTAGGTTACAAATTGGGCAAGGGCATGATAATAATCTAGCATTTACTTAAGATACTTACTTAAATTCAGATAACATTGATTCGATTTTTAACTATCTTACCTAAAACTGCCGGAAACCATCAGTGTTAGTAATGTTGTTATGACGACAGACTTAGTTAAGATGGTATGTAGTAGCTAAACTGCCGCCAAATCAAGCAGAAAAATTTGTCCTTTGGGAATTAAACCTGGGAAATCGGATTCCAAAACAGTTGGTCTTACTTATTAGATCATAGAGGCAGTTTAAGTTACATTGTGTTCTTAAACAACATAAAAATAAAATTTCAAAGTTTTTGAATAAAATTGCTGGTGGGTTCTGCTCCCGTTTCTGAGTCTGTAAAATCAATTACCCAAAAAAATATCTTGAATTTATTAATATAAAAATATCCGTTAGTATACTTTGAGAGGGTGCAGAAATTCACAAGGCACTTACTACTGAAAGTTTTCACATCAATAGGTATCAAATCTTAATGCATAATAGAAGGCTGATTGAAAAATAACATTCTACTACATATCAAAAGTATTGGAATATCGAACAAGGGATATTCGATAACTTCTTTTACTTGACTGCCAACGGTTAAAATCACAAAGAAATAGTTAAAAAATTAGCATACATACGTCTATCATGCAAGATATGATCCAATAACGATACAATGCAAAAGACATGCAAATTGGTAAGTGATACCAAAAGACGTTCTAAATTTGAAAAAAATCAAAAACTGTCATACGGTTCGTTGAAATTCAAATTAGGTGTTTGTCGAAAAATCGATATGGCTACCAATAATATTGCAGCTATTAAAAAAATATGTTTATGAATATGGCACAAAAGGGCGTTCGATAATTGAATTGTAACGTTATTTGAAACGACGACACGAGGGCAGTGGGTCGCGCCCTAAGGGCGGCGCACTGCTCGACAGAACATCACAATGTGCGGTCTGCGATTTAACATACGCAAATTTGTAGCGTACGCATTCAATTTTTATCGGCAATAAAAAAATCCTATTCAGCGATTCGTGACGCGTTATACATGTGCCGGAATAAAGGAAATTTAAATGTCGATAAATGATTTTTGCATATGACCGGGACTATGGAATTATGTAGATTTCGTAACATGTGTAAATGCAGGTTGCATTGTAATATTATTGCTCCGCTTGTATAATTCAAATTGGATTGTAGGATTTGCATCGACGTTTAACAGACCGTTACAAATTTGAGTATTGATAATGTGTTGTAAATACAATTAGTACCGCGCAAATGAGTACATTATGTCAGGAAGATACTAAATGTAAATTTCAATTTGATTTGTCAAACAAAATATTCATAATGATGTTATGAATTGTTATGCATTATCATTTGACTCTTATCTTATCTACAGATACTACTTATAATAACTTATATTATGAAACTATTAATTTGGACACGTAATGTCGGTCTACATTGTTCGAAGTAATTGCGGAATAATAATTGTTCCAGCAGCTGGAATCCAGCTTCAGTTTGAGATTAACATGATTTGCGATTTAGGATTAAATATCAATTTATGATCAAGTTTAATAATAACTTACGTAGAATCTTATCTCGTCTCATCATCGACTAAGAATAACAATGACGTAAATATAAATATAATTTTGAGTCAATTTAATTGATCTTGCTAGATGCATAATATTTGAGCGCAATAATATGCGAGTCAAATCGCATTAGACATTTATTAGCTTAATCGTAACGTACGACATAAGGATTTCCAATAAATACACATTGCACTGAATAATTTTCATTTGTACACATGCAACGGCGCGGCTGTAATAAAGCAACATTAACATTCAAACGCAATTCGCCATAGAAGGACACTATGCGAACAGAACGTACTGATATGGTAATTCGATTGACGTAGATACGAAACGAAATTCATTTCGCGAATTTGTCCCGCATTGTGCCCAGTTTTGTACAGCGTGCAAATCCGTTACCAATATTTTCATGCAAATCCCATTTTGCATCGATTTATAATCAATACAATTTCGTGTTGGTTCTTTTATTGCATGAATGGGCGTGAACGAACAGTGCGCAATGAATGACGTTGGTCGTTATTTTGTACTTTTTTTGAAAATGCAAATTTCGATGTTCCATTTTGGATGTCAATGACTTTTTTAAAATTAGAATAGGCTGTTCAGATTGACAAGCGTTGCACAATCTAATAAAATGATTCTGATTTATTATTATTTAAATAGATGTTACTGACACCGATCTTTGACATTTTGATATTCCTGCTTTTACAAATCTTTGGAATACAATAGACGTCAATGGAGTGACAGAATTGTTGCAACCGTTCACCGATTTGGTAATATTTTCACAGGAATAACGAATACCGACCTTGTCGTTCTTACGTTACCAACAGCACTGCCTACGTGTGATAGGAATCAATTAAGTAGGAACTTAATGTAGTACGTAGGACCTACCTACCCATATACTTACTTGGTAAAAGGTATTGTATTAATAAAAAGTTAGGTACCTACAATGAAACCTGCTTTATCATTAACTATAAGGGTTCCGTTTATTTGCCATTTGGCTATGGAACCCTAAAAAACCACTGCCTCGAGTTGGGAAATCATGAAAAAAATGTGTAGTGTAGCATATACAGGTGCTTCTATCGTTTCAGCCAAATGACGTCCACTGCTGGACAAAGGCCTCGGACCAAGGCTTTCCATAACGATTGGTCCTGCGCTGCATCCAGGTTCTTCCCGCGACCTTCACCAGATCGTCGGTCCATCTAATAGGAGTAGAACAGGAGCTTACCTGAAAAGAATAACACATAGATAGGTACCTACCTACTTACACATTACTTAAGTAGGTAGTTGACTTGACATTGATGTAAAGCGGTCTTGGTGTTATCTACTTAGCACAATCCAACATGCAGGCATCCAGTGCTTAAAAAAAATGAAAATTTTAGTCCTTGAAAGTTTCCGCTAGGGGCGCTGTACAATCCGTCATACATTTGATGTCGTTTTTTACCCGCTCACTAGTGACGTTTGATGTAAACTCACACTAAGCTCTCAGACAATACCACAAACCTCCGAATTGTCTCAATAGGCTCAGTACAGCGGCGTCAAAAGGTTCGTGACACCCAAAGTAGGTAGCTAAAAAGCAACACGATTTTTTTTGCAATTGGCATAAGGTTGTGTTGTCAACTTTTTGGCCAGTTTGGGCGTCACAACCAGCTGGGATGATAAGGATATAAAGTTTCGGTTATGGATACGGTTACGGATATAACAATAATATTATTATTATACCGGTTACGATTACGGATATGAAATCATTTCGAAATATCCGAAAGTTTCGGATAATTTCGTTATGGATATTAGAATTTTAAAAATGTAAATTTCAAATAGCAAGATGCTGCGCGACCCATATAGACACTTTATCACTATGACGGCACCTAATCATGACAATGGTAAAACAGGCGGGGATTATCAGATTGTGCCAGGGAATGCCAGACAAGTAACAAATATTTAAAAAACATTAAGATTTAGACTCCGCTTTTATCCGAAACTTTTGAATTGGTTACGGTTACAGATATTTTTTTATTTCGGAAATCTGACAGTTTCGGTTACGGTTACGGATATCCATACCATCCGTCACAACCTTAGATAGGCTGACGCTGATTGTTGATCTTTTTCTTAAAGGTTTTAAACCTTTGTTTGTCACCTGTCATCCGCTTTGCAATGGAGGGAAGTCGAACCTTAATTTCGAACTCCTCCTATGTTCTTCTGATTAATTTCGTTGCGGGTCCAACGACAGTTTAACTTTCCCCCGGGACAAACTTGACCTTCATTGGTTGGGTTTTTGTGGCGGTCAAGCTGTAGATCCTGGCTACACAGGGGTTGCAGTGGTGGGAACGAGAGGTGGGAATAGTC